GAGATAGTTGACATTTCAACGGGACCTTCATTTTAAAAACATTTCCAGATTTTTCGTTTTTTTCACCGTTGCAGTTGGACAATTAAGTAAATGTTCATCTTTTAAATTTTACGCCAACAAGGAAGACTTGTTTGAAAAACAAAGTCAACAGTTTTGTAGAGCTTGAAATTCTCTATCTTTTGATACTCAGGGCATTCTTTTTATAAATGAAAAATGAGAGAAAAATGCATCAGAATTTATTGCAATTTATCTTGGATCACCCGTTACTAGTATTACTATTCTACTCTATCACATGCGAATTGCATTGCTTTTTATTATAAGTGACAAACTCATCTAGAATTTTTTTCCCGTGCTTGAGAGGTTTTTTAAGAAGCTACCGAAGTTGATCGAGGAAATTCATCCAGAAATAAGTCATCCGGATTCCAACATGTCCGGCAAATGATTCATCCAGACATGTTGGATTCTTGATGAATAGTTTTCGGATGAGTTAAAAAAAGGATTTTAATAATCCGGCTTTCATGACACTTCCTCATCCGAAACGATTGTTATTGAGAGAAACGAAATATCAGACACTAATTGATTTTCATCTCTGACAAGAGAAAGACTAACTTTAATATATGAGTAAAGGACTTCATCCAATATGGCCATTGGTGGAGGTCTAGATTTATTCCATCTTTTACGGGCTATTTGTACTATAGAATAACACAATACAACAGTAAAATGCCACAAATAAAGATCCAGTCACATTACATTTGATATTACAGTATGGTTTAGTTTAATTCATTTTAAATGAGAACGTAATAACGGAATAAAAATTTCAAAATCAATGCGGCTATCATGTTAAGAATTTTAATAAAAAGTTTTAATAAAATAATAAAAAATTAAACAATTAAAACTAGAAAATTAAAATTATAATTTGATATTTCGACCTATTAATACGGTCATTTTCAAGTTTCTCTTCGTACAGGATGTTACATAAAAATTGAAAACAAGAATAACTGATTATATATACTTAGGGTTGATCAAAAGTTCGTAGAACGGTGATTCCGCCCTCCCCTCCTCACACCGTGATCAAAACTTTTGGTCAGCCCTAAGTATATTCTGATAACGCTGGAAATTCTCTGTCGTCCTATATATTTGTCAATTCTTTATACTGATTTTTTTTCTCATGAACAGATAGTGTCCACTTCTAAATGGGAGTCAAAAAAGCGCTTGAATTTTCATCTGTTCAGCCTTTTGTCAAAAACTAACGATTTCCTATGTCATTCAAATTATTTTGACTTCAAATCACTTGAAAAATACAAGACATACTGAGTTTTAAGTGTTAAGCATGATTCTATAAAAATCTAAATGTTTGCTCTACAAAACGGCTGTTCTCAGAAAATTTCACAGTTCGTTGCTGCGAAAATACAAACCACTTTCTGAAAAACACGAAAAAAAGCTGTTAACAAACTGTTGCATGCCTAATATGTACCACGAATTTTCATAAATTCGATGACTCTGAGGCTGAAGAGAACATGTAATATGGATCTACTTTCCCAAAGCGTCTGTTTCGATCTTCTTACATATACTGTGGGTTTAGATTGGTCAAATTTACATTCTGATACATGATAGTATATTTCTCAAAGTTTTGGTAGTTTCCGACACTACTGATGCTATTGTACGAATGGACAGAAAGCTCGTTCGTCTGATCCTAAGCTTTCACTTAGAGAAATAAAACGGTGATCGACTTACACACAAGCACGTACTGGTTTGCTACTATGGTCTAACGAAGCACATCTCTCTGTTTCTAGAGATTTCGTGATACGTATTCTCTTTAGTCCCTCAGGAATAAGTCAGTCTTAGACCTCCCGTCATTACACAGTGACCTGCTCCATTTTTTCCAATGCGGAAAAAGATTTGTGAAATGTGCAAGATTTCAGATGGACTTAGCCTCAGCTTAAATTCTCGCAAACATTTTTGTTGTATGGACTCCATTCTTATGTATTTTTACTTCTATATTGGAATCCAGTACATATTTTTCGAATATTTAGACTAGTGATTGTAAATCCTTGACGTATTCCGATTGTGATACCTCTAAAGAAACCAGGAGAAAAAACAGTTATGGATGTAAGGACGGTGACATCAATAAAGGAAGGTCTCTTTCGTATGCAGAAAAACCAATGATCAACGGGAGTTATGACATGCAGGTGCTGTGGAATCAGATAACCAACTAAAAACCGAAAATAGACATCATTTTCATACTGGAAAGTAAAATAGAATTGAAATTTTTATTCATATTTTGATCTGCGGTGTAAAAGGTTGAGGTTCTGTGAACGCCAACTCTTGACAATATTCTCATATCAGCTAAAAGATCGCACTTATTCAAAACTACAAGAAAAATATGTCACGTGTTACACCCGATTTTTTGACGACGGCTTTGCACTGTAAACAAATAAATGTAGTCTTACGCCGGAGACATTTTTCACGTTCAATAATTTAACTGTAAATAAACAGCACTCTCTGAATCCGTCCCGAATAGTTCACCAAATTATTTTTCTCCCAACTCATCTGGAGAAGCAATAAACACCTAGATAATGTATTTCCAATTCATCCAAATGTTTATGTTAATCTATTACGTCCAGAACATATTTTCCAGTACTACTAAACAGAAAAGTCTGAAATTCAAACTCGTTAACGGAAATAAAGGACATGGTCGGACAAATAAAAATTCTTAACCCAAAAATTTCGACTTTTTCCTATTAGAAACGTATCAGCGAGTTGCTAGAAGAATATTCTATCACTTAGTTTCACGAGGGTTACATGAATTTCGGCTCACGAATTTTTTGTCCCGGACTTTCGGTCCGGTCCGAAATTCCGATAATTTTTCGGCCCGGGCCGAAAGTCTGCCAATGACTATATCGTCTTGCCAAGCATCATGTCGTACTGCCGAGCACCATGTTGTACTGCTGAGCACCATGAAGTTTACTAATTATTTATAAAATTAATTAGGTAAATTAAGGTTTGGTCCAAAATTCCTTTCAGGCTTTTGGCCGGGACAAAAAGTTCGTGGGCCGAAATTCAGGTCTCCCTTTCACGAGATTTCACTATGAGGTTTTGACGCCTTTAGTATCTCAGAGGAAGTCAGAGTTGTACCCTGTCTAAAAATAAGAGATCGGACCGGATCAGCCGACCACCAGCCGGTCCCGAAATTGGTTTGGACCGGTCAAAAAACGGCAGAAAATCAGTCGGGTTTCAAATATTTCCTAGACGGAGAAGAGGGTAGAAAAACTCATTTTTTCTTAGTGAAGAAGAGAAAGACCCTAAGAATTTCAAAACCGGCAAAAAACCGGTCAATCACTGACCGATTTGAAAATCTTTCTGGACCGGTTGGTCTAAACTTTTACACCGGACCGGAACGGGCCGGCCCGGTTACAACTCTGGAGGAAGTTCGAAAAATTTTTTATCTTGGATTTTTCGATTATGTAAGTGGACTAGATGCAGAATATGATGCTGATCCTAAATATCATGTATAAAACTCGGAAAAGTTCAATCTTCGTGGAGTAAAAACTAATGTTACTTAATGATGGTAAATTTTATCTTAAATTATCTTTCTTCAACTCTCAGCTAGAAAAAAGCGTTTTAAAATTCTACTCAGGTAATGTTAAAGTGAAATGTTTAAATTCAGATCCACTTGCCATAAAATCGAGGTTTAAATTAACACTGATTCTTGTTGTTTCATGCCTACAGCGATCCATGGAGCACTCCAGAAAACGTTAAAACGTCACAGAAGACGTAACTTTCAATACTGTGTCCAATGCACGTTTCAAAAAAATCCAAAATCAAAGTGCGACATGATGACAAACATCCAGTTCATGAAAATACTCTCTGAAAAAAACAGGGTATCACACGGATCACTTAAAACGTTCTTACTTGGGTTGCAAATAGGATACCTTTGAATGGATTCATAGAAAACGGATTCATGATGCCTGTCTGTATTCCTATTAAATATAATACAAGAACGTAAAAAAAGTGACGGGTGAGACAATGTTCGAAGTTCAGACCCGTAATGCCCTATAGCTTATCTAGTTGAGAAAATTCATGCTTCACTAGTTGCTACCTATTCTGAACTTGTCCTCCGCCGCACGCTAAAAAACATCGAAAAACTTGTCGCAGTTAGCATCATCCCACTGTGCAAATTTTCTTCTGTTTTTTGTCAGCACTACAACTAACGTACAGAAAAGAAACAATAGTACATGAATGAGTTGTTTACGTAATTATCTATATTAGTGAACTATTTTGAATCAAATATAAAAAGGAAGGAACCTAATACATATGAAGACTAAAGGACTTCGCTTTTGTTATATGTTCAATATTTTCTCCATTACTTCTCATTTGCCAATTATGATTTATCTACAACATGAAATTTTAAAATTAAATTATAGTTTAGAATCTTCTAAGTATAACCACTTACTTTTTTCGACGATTAATTTTTCTACTGGATGTACCTTCTTTAAATGTTTACATGCATATAATCCAGCATCTTTTGGTGATATATTTTTAACAACTAAGATTTGTTGATGATAAATATATTTTGTTTGTTTATATGATGTTGGTAATAACTTTCCATCTTTCATCCAAATAACATTACCACTTTTTGCTGTTATATCATGTTCTAATTCACATTCAATGCCAAAATCATCACCAATATTTTTATATGTTAACAAAGCTGAAATTAATATTGTTTTAAGAAGTTTATGAACAACATCATAAGCAGCTAAATCTTTTAGCTCTCCTGTATATGATACTACATTGGACAATGTGACTCAAAATTGATGCAATCTCTTCCACCACAGGTAACTATTCAATTTTGCCGTTGCATGTGTTCATTTAACAAGGAAAAAAAACTTTCAAAAGTCAATGTTCAATTTCAAATAGTCTAAGAGATCGATCTAAGAACACCTTTCTTTTTATCAATGATGATCGAAATTTCGGTTATATTTTACTGAATACTCCAACAACTTATTTCATAACGTTAGTCAGTTTTGGACAAAATATTAGGAAAAATGACAGTTTGTTTCCAATGAATCATCTCCGCCAGACTTTGCTGTATTTTACTGGAACTTTTATTGTTTGTTAGCGAATTTAAATATCCAGGCTTTGACATATTTCAACCTTCTGGTCTTGTGTTTACTGTTTGAGAAAAAATCTCTCCACATCGGATCGATCTAACAAAGTTTACTTGATTCACACGGCCAGAAATCATTACGAACTCGATCTCTTATGATCGTATTAAAATGGCTATCTATCTCTAGCTCTTTTCATTCTCCACAGATTTCAAAAAATAATTGTATTTCAATTCTTTTTTTTGATAAAATACATTATTGTTCTCTAACAAACTAAATTGAATCAAATTGAGTTGAATGAAATGAAAATAAATGTTTTAAAATATTTTACTTACCATCGTCAACAATTAATCTTTCTGTATTATGAATTTTACCCAAATATTGACATGAATAAATACCATTATCTTTTTTATCTATATTGTTTAATAATATAGTACCCGCACCATAAGTATATTTTTCTCGATTCTTATCTTTTGCTATTAATACACCATCTTTGTACCATTTAATGTCACGGCTGGTAGTTGAATAACATTGTAACTCTATATTGTCACCACGATTGTAATGGTTTTCTGTGACACTGGGTTTAGCTGTATTTCATATAAGACAACATATATAACAAAGAAAGACGTAGTTTTGTGAATGACAATGAAAGAAAGAAACAGAAACTGATTGTAGGAATACACGAAAGAGTCACGCAATTCTCTTTGTTTGTTTTTATGCTCAAAATAGTAAAGTATGAAACAATCAGTTGAAAGCAATTTAAAAGAAACCTGCGATAGATGTCATCCTCATAATAAAATATGGACTGTTGACAAGAAATATTTGAGGTTTGTTTCGACGGAGTTTTCGAACGGAAAATTATTTTGAAGTGGTTAAACGCAGATATCGAAAGAAGAAACGATTTTATAGACAAAAGAAATGCATCAGGTCAAACTCAAAGAAATAATCGTCCAGAAAAGATGTTTAGCAGTATTGCTGATGGTTAAGAGACATAGTTTAGTGGCAGCTAAAATTTTGAAAAAAACATGTCTCGACTGGGAATCGAACCCAGGACATCGGTGAATAAGACAAATACTCCACCACTGACAAGGGAAAGTTTCCGTCGATCGTTCTTTTTTCAAAAGTTATGAATCTTTTTTTGTGTACCATGCTCCAGGTTTTCTCATAACGATATCTCACAAAGAAAGGAAAAATTCCATAACTTTTTGTCCAGGAAAGTTAGAATTCTGAAACTTTCTGTGATATTAGTAGATTATTAGCAGAATCACAGAAAAAAACCTTTAACCGTTAGTTCGCTATACTTGAGGAGTTATGTGTAACTGCAGCATCTGGAGTATGGTAACAAAAAAGATCCATAACATTTGAAAGAAGAATGATAGGCACAAATCCTTTTAGATTTTATACTACTATCCATTCCAACATACAATGCCATTGGTTGCTTTTTAAATAACTTCTGATAGAAGATAGAAAACCTGCGGTTTTCAGAATTCGATAGCCAAAACACACATCTTAAAATTGTGACAAAACTCCTCAACCCAGGCAAAGTACACATCTTTCCAGAAGCAGAAATGATTTTGGAAAAAAATTCAAGATCGGATTCTGAGCAGATCTTTAGAAAAACCAGTTTGGATCTCTGAGAATTGACATAGAAGTCAGTCATTCTTCGTAGATAGATAGTCCCAAGTCTCCTCTCCAAAATGGGAAGTAAGCGAATTCTTAATTTTTCCGGTTCGAGCTTGACATCGGATTTTCTGAGAGTCCCAGGATCAATATTTCTTTAGGTGTGGCAATTCCGAAAATAAATGGAAACATAGATAATCGACCACGTTGAATCTCGTGGCAATATGTGTTTTTCCAAATACTTCCAAAAACCTAGTGAAAACCTATATTAGGTGAAATATCCCGTTTTTGCCTATTTTTGAGTAAAACCAAAAGATTCATAACCCAGTGAACATCCATCCAAGTTACGTCAGAATATCAAGATGTGCTCTATTTTATCTGCTCTATATATTTTTCTACTTGAGAATAGTAAGAGTAAGAAACCTCTTTGTAGTTCGGAAAATTTCTAGAAAACCTTTTCAAAAACCAAAGTATTTTCTGTTGACTTTTATCGCTTTAGATGAGCTGCATCATATAGAGCAGATAAAATAGAGTACATCTTAATATTCTGACGTAATTTGGATGGAACTCGACTAGGTTATGAATTTTAATCACATAAAGGTTATGAAAAGATGTGTACAGGTTTTGGCTATCGAATTCTGAAAACCGCAGGTCTCTATCTATCTTCTATCAAAAGTTATTCAAAAAGCAACTAATGGCATTGTATTTTGGAACGGATAGTAGGATACTATCCTCTATCAATTGTCATATATATCATCAAAAACGGAGAGTGATACAAGGAAAGCCGGAATAGAGTCCTGCGGGGTTGAGTTTTTTCGTCCTGATCCCGATTCCGTTCCATAGGCTTAATTACTATTCCGTTAAATCTCGAAAATTTTTATTAATTTTTTTATTTTTCTGATAATGAAACGTAGTTCGAATAAATTGGAAATTCTCGATTCCGAAAAAACTAACTCTTACCTCTCATAGTAAAAGTCCTTGTTCCTTCTTAAATTTAATTGCCGTTTTTCATTAAAAGCGAACAGAACGAATCTTCCAAGCAGTTTCTTTTTCAGTTTCATGTTTGTCATTTTTGCGAAGCGGAAGAGAGTCATGATGTTTGCGCTACTCTGTCTGGTTGTTGCGAATTTTTATTGGCAGTAAGAATCTTCAGTATTTTTGAAACTTTTTTCCCGTCGTGCTTCTATGTTTTTTTTCAGATAGGGCTAAAATATCGTTTTATAAAGTTAGCATTTGAGAGCTGCTTCCAGCCTAAAGTGATTCAGAAAATAACTTGTGGAAGCTAACTTCATACAAAGATCGAGACATATGAAATTTTCTTCAATTATTTGTTACTTGTCAAATTAAACACATTCTAAATGACTTGAAGAAAAATTACTTGTGCTTATCACATCGCGTTCTTCAGTCGTTCCCTGACTATGCGTGTTATCTATATTCAAAAATATCCATGCGTTGAAACTTCTTGCATCCAAGATGTTGAGTCAAGATCTTAAAAAAAATTAAAGCCAGATCTTAGTTACAAGAAGTTTCACTAAGCACTGGCATAGCGAGCTTTCGAACTGTTAAGAGATTAGGTGGGTGCACAGGAACCCAGGGCCGTAAATAGCAAGTCAACTTTGGAGAGATGTAGAAAATTGTTTAAAGGTTCATAAAATTTAAGAAAAACATTTTTGCTGTGCAATTTCCGCTAGGAGGAAAGGACAAATTTTTATTTTTTTGGGGGGAGGGGGCGGGGTGCACCCCTACGCAATTTACTGTCTTGTGTGAACCTCACTTGTACTTACATTGATACAATACCAAATGATGTATGCTAGATTTATTATCGGACATTTCACATACATAAGTTCCAGCATCTTGTTTTTTCATTCGTTTTATTGTCAATAAATAATATTTTTCATCATATTCAATACTATGGTTAAATAATAATTTTGATGTATTTCTTATTGATAATGGCTTACCTAAAGTGTAGGATGTCTTTCTCGTTTAATAATCAAAACAAAGCACATTGCAAACACGTAAAATATATAGCTTTTACCATTTTTTGACCATTTTACTATAGCATTTTGATGACTTTCAATTGGTGGACAAACTATCGATTCATCATTATTATCAATCCCCCAATGCATCTCAGTGTGATGAGAAGCTAAAAAGTGAAGAATAAGATCTTATTTAATGACTTATTTCTTTTACTCGAATATTTTTGTCTGCCTTCCTTTGTGGTCAGTAAAACCAATACACTTGTCAGCGTAGATCTAACAGTCTGAAGATAAAACTTCCACTATTTTCTGAAATTTCTTTCCAAAAGACTACCTATAGTATCTTTTGGTATGCCTTTTCCGAAATCGTTCTTCTTCAGTAAATGTATAATTAAATTGAACCCTTCAACTAACATATCGTTCGTCAAACATAAGGGGCTGTTCGTCGTGCACATCAGCTATTATAAGGAAGACTGTTTCGTTTGTTACGTATAAGAGCGTTTGCAGGACAGTGAGTGGGGTTGAATCTCCATAATAAAATTACACGCCTCCTAACAATACTAATAATAAACGTCGGATATTTACAAAACAACATCCATCTTTCACATATAACGAAACATATAAGTCGAGTTTAATAAACCTCTACTTTCATATACAGAAATCCCGTTCAGTATTATTTTTTAAAAATAGTACCAGTACTTGTACTAGCCTGTGCAGGGGGTGCAAAGTACAATTTTTGCTAAAATCGACCTTGTACTAGAGATAAGTAGGGATCCCTCAGTTTCTAAATCCATATCCCGAACGTGGAGCAATTCTATTCTGTTCAAGCACTTTGTCAAAGAAAAAAATGACAACTATGATTTTACAAAAAAAGTCTCAGTAAAATTCAATGTTATTCTACAAAAAACCGTGTTATTATTCCAGAAAGGATATCATAAGCTGTAAATTTCTATAAACTACGGTAATTATACCTATAGATAGTTTGTTCTAACATGCATCTAATTCTGTATTTACTTTTTTTTGGAGTATCAACGTTTTTTTAAGTTCACATCGATAGTTGCTTTGTCATTATTTATGTGTGGCTAATCGACGGTGCTAATCCCACATATGATATTCATTTGACACCCTATGAACCTTTAGCGTAAATCTCTGGAAAACTGGTCTCTTGAGATCCATCTTACAATCCAATAAAAGAGATTTTAATTAGAACATGTCGAGTTACCTGTGTAAAAATCTTTTTAGACCTAAAGATTGAGTTTTGGACGACTTGACAATTTAGTGCAATCCGTTGACTCTTCATCTGTTTTTAAAATAAAATTCCTTGACCTCATCCAAAACTCAATCCATATGGGCACAAATAAAGATCATATTGGTGATCAGCATCGTTGATTACAAATAGCCATGTACGTCTCGAGAAAAAAAATGCTCCTTGTGGAGGTTCCCTCGTTACTTTGGAAAAAATATTTTCTTACTTCTAGAGGCTTTTACACGAATAATTTGAAGTGATTTTCTGAAAAAAACATCTCATCAGAAAAATTAGTGAAATTGCCATTTTCAACCAGAAAATTAATTTTGCATCGGCAAAAAACATCATCCAGTCACAAAACGAAATTTTCTATCCGAATATGGTGGAAAACAAGATCATAGCTGCTTTTTTTGTACTAAGGCCAAAGATGCTAAAAACAGGTGTATTAATCTATTTTGTTTTTACCACAATATCCTGACGAAATCTTGACTTAAGGTGAAAATTCTCTGCTATATACGGTTTTGCATGCTCTATCTATCTACAGTATTTTTCAAAAGACACAAGAAATCCTCCCCGAAAATAACATCTTTCATCCTTTGAGTTTGGGTTTGAGAAAATTTCATTCAATAGATTCGAATTTTCTACACTGAAGTTTGAAGTGCATCAATGTATCTATAGCACCAGATGCAGTGAATCTTCAAATTACGAAGTATATTGATGACGCTTTTTTATCATTAAAAACATGTTTTTGTTGAGATATTAGTGTGCATAGGTTGCAGGATACAAATACATTTTGTATTCGTTTTTCTGGTTTATGTATTGGAAGCAGAATACGTAATGGTTCAAAACGAATACAATCAAATTTATCGACGTATTCTGTCTTTCTCTTTTTAAA